TTGTTACACTGAATTTTTGATATCGCTTTGACAGTGGGTCTACTCAGGCTAGCTAATGCATGTTTGATAACAGCTAAAATACCAATGAAGACAAGGCAATGTGGGTTTTAACTAAAGTTAGCAGCTCAAGTACAACCCCAGGCAGCTGTAGAGGCTTTATCCTGAGCTGCTAACCTGAGTTTAAAACTCAAACTGCCTTATCTTCACTACTATTTAATTGACTTGGATTAGTTAAACTGCCTGAAGAGCTCACTTATTTTTTTTGCAGACTAGCCCTGAGTTCAATTGGTTTTTCCTTGTTGCTCCCTCCTGAGGTTTTTTCTTTTCTTATTTGTTGTTGGTTCTCCATGTTTAAAAAAAAAATTACTGTGACTGAAATGTGCCCTGCAAAGCAGATTCAACACAGCAGGCTATTCAAAGCACCCAGCCATGTGCACTAATAGGACTGCTGAACCCTGAAAACCCTAGAAGCCTGCTAACTAATAACCAGGGCACATTTCAGTGCCAGGAGGGCTGCAGGAGACACTTAGTTACATACACACTCTGACAAAGGATCAATCTGCAGGCATGCAAGTATGTAAAACAAAACAGCAAATAAATTTACAACTAGCAAAGCAGTTTCCCCATTTCTGTTTTTCTCGCATTAAACAGATTGGCATATGCACTATATTCTTTCTTGAAAAAAGGCATCATCATTGAATATCAAACTTTTAACCCCTTTAATTACTTTTCCTGAAGCTTCCCAGAAATATTTAACTTGGGCCTAAATTATAACAATAAATAGACAAACAAACACATAAATAACAAACTTATTTTTAATTTTGGTTTCTTTTCCCTCTTTGGAACATCACATTGAGGTTGTGGGCCAGATTCTGGTTTATTTTAGTATTAAGACAAAGTAAATTTTGTCAGCTTTTGTATACAGGGAAATCAGTAGGCTGTAAGTTAACACCTTAACTTACAACCCAGCTGTATGAACAGTCTTAAAGCACATTGGCAACTTGCAGACATTTAAAAAATAAAATAAATGTTCTTTACTAGAAGCAGCAGCGTGTTACTTTGACCCAGTGTCTGTATAGATCAGGTGCTTCAGCTGGGCTTTTTGGCACTTTTATCTAAAGCTGAGTCAGTTAGATAAAAGCAGCCTGGAGTAGCCCATACTCTCCAGCCACCCTGGACAGGTGCTGTCTCAGGGCTTGAGGGGCCCAATCCTGTGCACCCAAGGAACAGCAATTCCCACACAGGATCAGACACCTTAAGCTCTGGGAGTGCCTGACCAACTTTCTCCATGTACAATGAAGTACCCCCTGATCTCCAGGGTGGTGGGGAGGGTGTCTCCATAAGCAGGGAAAGTTGAAGATTCCCTGCTTAGATAGACACACCCTGGAGATTCCCAGGGATGTGGGGAAGGCTAAGCAGGTGTTCCCCATGCTTGAAGGGTCTGATCCTGGACAAGAATTCCTAGGATGTACAGAAATGGGCCCTTCAAACCCCAAGAAAATGCATCGTTTGTTGTCCTGCAGCATTAATGGCCAGGACAAAAAGTTGATGTGTGTTTCACCCCATGAAGTGGATCAGCTGTACTGGGACAAATCTGGGAAACAGCTGTGTACACATACAAGGGATTCAGGCTTCTGGGCATAGCAAAGCTCTCATTAAGGACATTTTCTCCTATGCAATGCTGAAGTGTAATTATTAAATGGTCATATGTTCAACCAAAACAATGTTTTCTTTTAAGCAAGTAAAGCCACTAATTGTGAATAAAGTTACAAATGTCAACTTGAGACATTTGTTACAGGTGGGGATAGAGTTTATCCTTTTTTAAAACACAAGAAAAAAAAAGTGTTTTTTTCCCCCCTTTTCACGCTCCCCAGCTCAGCAATTCTTAACCAGGGTGCCACAGATTGTCCCTACCTGGTTGAGCTCCCCCTGCCTATTGCCTGGCCCCTTTGAAAGGAGTAAGCACTGTAATATATAAATTAGGGGTGGACTGATAGATTTTGGGGGCTGATACCAATAGCTGATTTTTAAGGAGGCATATTGGTAGATACCGATCTGATTTCCAGTACACATGTATCCAGCTGGTAAGTCTGTTGTGGTAGAAGGGGAGGGGGAAGGAAGGGGTGTGGGCATGCAGGGGGTGGGGGGCAGATCAACCCCCCCACAGCAAGGGAAGGAGTACAGCATGGGATGGAGCTGCAGCATGTCCAATGGTTACAGGGGCGGGGTATGAATGACATGCCCCTGGCATGCACCTCCTATGTGTTGCCCCTGGGGGGGGACGATCCTGTCACTGCACACACCCTGGGAGGGCATGCGGCAGGCTGCAGTTGCGGACTGGGACCAGGGCTGCACTGGGCTCTTTTTCTCCCTTGGGGAACCAGCATTTTATTTTTATTAAGTTTTTTTTATTGTTGATTTTGCAGATTTTGCCAACAATCCTGAACTTCAGGGTTTCTGCAAAATCCATGAAACCATGAGTTAAGCAGGGACTTGTTTAAATAAATAAGAACCACTTAGCTCACACAAGAAAGGACATTTATACCAGTCAATCAAAATGAAAAACTTGGCCTAAGCCTAAAAAGTTTCCCGTTGTCACAGAGCAGCAGTAAATTATATTTTATGGCTTGGTCCTTTAGGAGAAAAGGCAGAAGGGAAGAGGAACAACTTGTATCAGTACCAATCCTTGAATTTTTACTTTTTTTAAAAAAGAAGGAAATAAACCTTTTAGCTATGTTAGCAACTATGGGAAACTCATCTACTCCCACTTGAGATGAAAGGCAGGGGATCCTGCCTCCAAAAAGCTAGAGGTCATGCAATCTGACTTATTACTTGTGAGGGTGGAAGATAAGTTAGAGAGTTAAGTTCTTCTGTTGGTCCTTTTCTACTTCCAAAAACTGTACTTGTTTGTGTTAGTACCTGCAGCAAGAGACACATAAACCATACTACCCTGGTAAACTGAATATTCCATTGAATAATTTGGATGCTCAGGTCTAGCTACTAGAGGATACAGCAAGCATATTCACTCCTTCTCAAAATATTCTTCCCTTGTTCCCTAGTACTGTACTTATCAGCTGAGCAAAGCCATAGGATGCAAGGAGACTCACACAGCACTAAAAGTCATATATTATAGTAGCCACTGAGAAGAAAGATGCCCTCTTGGAATAAAGGACAGCCTTTATGGATGAATAGTCAAGAATATTATGAAACGTGTTCGGATCAGTAGAGGCAAAGTTGGAGTAGAAGCAAATGGATTTGGCAACAGATGCTTATCTAGCATGAGTGGATACAGCTCTAGGATCTAGCTTGTAATGGGGTAAAAGGTACTTACAGAACAGTTCTCCAGACCTTCAGACATTAAGGCTTTTGGAAGTATGCAGAATTTTTTAATAAAGTGAAAATACAATATCTGATTATGCATCTAATTAATATTAAGTTTTCAATCTAAGCAACACTAAATAAATATTAACTTCATGTACAGAATGTTACAGATGTACATTCAACAAAACAGGCTCCATACAACCTTTTCAGCATATATTAATCTCTACACTCATCTTAAGGCTGACCTCTGTTTTTAGTCTATTTTCAAAATAGCTTTCTATTCCTTCACAGTGCAGTAGGCAAGGCTTTTAAAAAAAAAAAAGCAGGGCAGTGAAATGTGTGTATAGGTACATATTACTACATCTAATCGAACTACCTAGCTACAAGCAAACCAAATTTGCACAGAATGACCTCCTTTCCCAAAAAAATAAGTACTGATAAAACAATTTTCAGGAAAAACTTACAAAAAGAAAATGGTAAAGGGAACAAAGTGAAATAATTACCTATCTCCCTTTGGTTTTCTTTTTTGTACTGTCTTCCCTTTGGGTCGTCTCTCACTTCCTAAGCAGGGGCTCCCACCTGGGCCCGTTACCCGTATTGATTCAAGGCCTTTGGAAGATTTCTTAAAAGTAAATTCCACTGGTTCTCCTTCTTTTAGGCTTCTAAATCCTTCCATGTAAAGCTTGCTCTGCAAAAAGGAAAAATATTTTTGGTTACCATTGCCTTAAAATTACATTGACAATAAAAACAAACAGGAGACCCCTTTTTATCCTGCTTTGCTGATCCTACAGTCTGCTGCTTGTGCTGGGGTTTCCTCAACAAGAGGGATTAAAAGATGCAACAATTACAGATGTGGGTAAAACTTCCTCCAAGCTTAATAAACAATTAGATTATCTTGTTTCAGTGTTGTCAAGATCCAAAAATATTTTCCTTTTTTGTACTGAATGATATGAATACCAGGTTGAAAAGCAAATTCAAAGAGTGGTAATTCTACACAATTCTTTGTAGAAATTCTCTGAAGCTTCAGGCACTTTTAATAGAAAATGTGAGGAACAGCATGAACAAATATTGCCTTCTTAGCCAACCTAGATAATGAACTCTAGTTTATGACTAAAACACAAAAGACAGGAAAAACTAAAAGATCAAATTTCAAACTCATAAAACTAAAGTATAGCAAGCAAAAAGAACAAAAATGGAATTATGAAAACAAAATGAATTACAAAGGATAATTCAAGCATTACAAGTGAATCTCAGACTTTGTGTAGAATACTAGTAAAACATGTCTGGTTAGTATAATTTTACTACGGAATTGTTCTTTCAACCACAGAAAAGCAAGTCATCACCAAGATATGGTAAAGAAAATGGCAATAGTGATGATCTTTTGGTATATATGGATAGGTTTTGGCACTAATTTCAGCGCAGCCATAATGTTATCCTTCATCTCAAATCTTCTAAATGCTGCTGAGCAACGGAGGCTACCATCATCCATTGATTGAAACAACCAATCTATTTTGCCTGGATATGAATTCACTCACAGAGGCAGCAGTATCTTTCAGCTTTTCAGAAGATACTCAGAAACACCCTAGTAAGAGTATAGGACGTTTGACCCAAAACACCATATACATGTTTTTCCCAAGTCAAAGGCATAAAGCTAAGTGTTCCAAATAGGGGAGTTGTTGGAGTACAGACTGTATTGTTCACAAAAGACACTAGTCAGGCTGGTGTGCACCTGCCTTTATTTCCTAGTGACTACAGAGATGGGTATGGTGGTATACTTTGTGCATTTTTAACAATAAATTCGTGCAGTTTTAAAGTAATGCCAGAATCCTAAACATTTTTCAAAGCCTTATATTTTAGGAAGCACATCGTGAGAGGCTGAAAAGTTATATACTGTATCTGTTCAAATCCAAGATGAAAGAGTGGGGGGTGGGAGGTAGGGGGAAATGGAAGCAGCTGCTGCAGCTCTGACTCTAACCCTGACTGGCTTTCCCCACTTCAGTGGCAGGGGAAGGCGAATTTAAGATGACCCCCCAGTAATTAGATTCTATACTTGGAAAAATTATAAGAAATGAGTACATTTTCCATGTATAGCATCTAATTATTGGGGTAACATCTTCAATTTGAAGTCATCTTGGATTTGGGTAAATGTGGCGTTTCATTTTTCTTTTTTGAAAAAAAGATGTTTTGTTAGAAATATATAAATGTTTTTATTTAGCAAAAAAGCACTGACAGTTTAAATGCATTTTGCATTTCTCCACTTTAACAAGGCTTTTGTTTTCAAATAATACACAAAACCTATTAAGAACACGTATTACATTTAAAAAAGAAAGCCATGGAACTGCTACCATACTTTGGTAATCAGCTGTTAAACATGTGTAGTATTTTTTCACACATTCATTGCTTATTGTGTGAAGAGAAAAAACCCACTTAGCTTCTTATTGTAACCTGCTTTAATACATCTCAACAGCTCCACAGTAATATAGATGGACATGGCACCAGTCTGATATATCGTATAAATGCTCATTATGTTGTCAGCCAGGACATAAGATTCTTAGAGGATGCAGCCATGATTCTGAAGAATGATGAAGGAAAATGGTCTAGAAACAAATAGGAAAGATGAAATACCAACCACTTAAAATATTTTTAAGAGATTTGGTTAAAAAATTTAAATTTCCAATATAAGATACATATAATGTCAAGCGTTTCCTTACTAGTTCATTATTTTAAAAGATAAAATTCTGTAATTATACCTGTGAATGTAAGCAAAGCTCTGAACTAAAGGACAATTCTCACTGATATCAGTGGGGCTTTGAATATATTTATCCCCAGTCACAGAAGTAGGGCTTGAGAACCGAAAGAAACAACTAAAAAACAAACCAAAAACAACCCCTCCCCGCCATATAAACTCACACATACTGCCTTTTCATTACAATAATCTTCATTATTGCTATACCAGTTAGCCACTACACACAAGACTATAATTTTTAATCTGGCAGTATTCCTTTTATGACACCTATTATTCTTTGGCATTATAGCCTATGCTGTAAAGTCACATACATCTTGAACCCTAACAATGGATCAGCTGCAAAAGCTTATGATTTCAAGGGCGTAACAAACAGAAGAAGATTTAATAACAAAGATAACATGTTCTTGAAAAAAAAAAATCTACCATATAAACAAAGAGAGGGAAATATACAACAAACATAGACAAAGTAGAATTATCCTAAAAAAGAATGTTTTCTTGATGGTGTCACTGGGTGCTGAAAACTCTCACTTAAACCCACAAAAGGGAGGAAATTCTGAGTTAAGACCCTTTATGAGGATCTATTCTCCTCTTGATATGCGTGCGGTAACTCCTATTAACATGGGAGTAGGAAGGGGAGAATAGGCTCCTATAATGAGCCCTAATTCAGAAGTTCCTTTCTTTTGAGGATTTCAAGTCAGAGAAACACCTGCTGATGCAGCCAGGAAATTCTTTGAAAAAATATTCTGTTTAGGGGAAATTCCTCTTAAATAGTTACATACATACATACATGTCCCGGTATTAATTGTTCAATACAATGTTCAGGTAAAATCAGTGTGCTCTATATTTTGCAGAGAGAAAGACACAGCTTCCATCCCAGATTCTTTACCAGACCCAGACACTAACCAAATCAAGTACTGCAGCCTAAAAATGTTAAGGAATTCTCTCGCCATGGATGTAGTACCAGTACAGCTCCAGCCGTGCTAACAATGGTGGGAGCCCATGCAGACTCACAGGACACAGCAAATCTTGGATCTCTACTAGTATGCTCCTACCTGTGCTTAAACCCAAACCAAACTAATTCCCCTTTTTTATAGACAACAGTGTCACTGGAGGTGAGGATATCTGGCATCAGTAGATAAGCTGCAGATAGTCATCCAAGAATTCAGTAGCTGATGTTCTGAAAAGGTCCTGGGGAAAAAGTATTTTGGGTTTTTGGGGTTTTTTTAGTTTAAATGCTCCACTTAAAAATCACCATATGAAACTACAAATTTCAGACCCCCCCCCACAAAAAACAGATACTAAGGACAGTACGCCCCTGTGCTAGGTTGCTATGGGGAGTAGAGAGTGCAGTAGGCCAAGCCAGGTGTGTGGGGGTGCAGCAGAGGAGCACAGGCTGCCCATTAGGTAAAGGAGAAACCCCTGTGTATGGCTAGGGAACCACATGACCAGAAGAGGTGGGACTTAGAGGTATATAAGACCAAGGGGTTGAAGCAAAGGGGGCAATTGGGTGCTGTAGGCTGCAGGGAGAGGAGCTCTTGAGGAAGACAGCTATAGGAGACAGACTGTCAAGTAGCTGAGTTGTCCTACAGAGCTGGAAAGAAGAATCTAAAAGGGAATTACAGGCTGTGGTGAGGCAATGACCCCAGAGCAGGGTGGATTCCAGCTGTGAAGCAGGTTGCTTGCACTTTTGTTGCAATTAAGTTGGATACTGGAGGACCGGACTGTGGCTGTAGGAGAGGAGGCGGCCACTGAGAAGGGTGCCAGGGGCACCCCAGGTCTTAAATCCTCCACAAGGTGGAGGGAGCACTGCAATCAACTGAAGGACTGTAGCCTGAGAGAAAAGACTGAGGGCAAAAGTCCAGAGCCCATGAAGGCTTTGGAGTAAGGGGCCTGGACCTGCGTTCTGTGAGCTAAGGGGGCAGGGGGGAAAGCTCTGATTTCCCATGATAAAAAACCCAGAATCAAATGCCAAGATTTATAGGTATTTAGAACTTATTTTATTACAGTGATTGAGGCACTGGTAGGCTTCCAAATTGCTTTAAACTTGTAAAATATAACAAGTAAACAATGTGTTCAATTGATATAGATATAGTGACCTTTCATTTTAATCATGGATTTGGGGGGTTTAATCCGAGAATTTTCAATTTTTTTTTTAGTAGGGAAAACCAGGATCCCTGATTTATCAGACTGCAAACCACCCTGTATACCACATAAATAAATGGCCCTAACACTTGACATTAACACATTTGTTTCCATTTATGCCAGCAATGAATCTGTCCTGGATCTATTCTGTATTGACAACAAAGTAAAGAAAATGGATAGGTGAATAGGGCACTGATACTGAAAACATTAACATGCATATTTAACTGCATTGCAAAGAGGTGTCACCCAGAAATCAATGGAACTATTTGTTGTGGCAACATTATATATGTGCACAAGCCTTTGCAGGATTGGGGTCCTAATTCCATATGTTTATATGGATCTGTGTATTCATATCATGGAATTTGAATCCATCCATTACAAAAGAATTATGAAGAACAATTTTCTAGCCCTACACTTGTAAAATAACCTATTCACTAGGACCCAAGAATGAATGGAGTCTGTATTTAAGAGAGCTGGCATACCCAGAAAAACAAAATGACAGCTCTTAGGGGACAGAGAATTACCACAATCTCTTGATATTGTATTACATTTTGACATCAAATAACCACATTTTAAGGCATTGATTCAGCAATATCCAAAAGCATGTGCATGAGTTTCAGTATGTGGTTGACTCTATTAACTTCAGTGAAACTACTTAGTCTTAAAGTTAGGCATTTTGCTTTATGTGAAATAGCTATTTTGCTAAATTGGGGTCTAAATATAAACACTGCATTTCACTAATGACTATTTTAGTAGAACAGAAAGGATCTCCTGGTTTTAGTCGCATGCTCTTTCAGGAA